CACGCCATGTTGAGATCCAGCGTCCTTCTCTGCTTTGATACGCTGTGCCTCTTCGATGCCAGCGTCCGCCCTTGGAGCAGGATAGAATCGTGCTGCAAAGATTAGACGTATATATGAAAGATTAAACCAATGTAATTATATATGTATTTACTGTTAATCGTTATATTACAGTATATGTACATTGTGTTAATTATCATTAATTAATATAAATAATGGTGTATATACATATATACACATATACGTTACATTTGTACATGTGTGTTCTTTATACACATATTCTGCACGTAGACATATTCGGTGTGAACCACTGAAGTGTTGGATTTCATCTTTAATGCCAGCTGGGTTCGTTCGTGGTCCAGATAGCCCGGATACCATCGGATACCTATATTTGGATACCATGTCAAGCCCTTATTCTCCTCCGCGATGGTGTAAGACTGTCCTAGCCTTACAAGATTAGTCCCAGCCCATGGCCCTTTTTGCATGTGGGATCCAGTGATTTTGATACTTTTCATTGTCAAAATGCAAACCTCCTCAGTCTGACCAGCTCACTCTGTGCAATCCAAGCAGCAATTGCAAGAGCTTTCTCCACTCCTTGTATAACTAGACTGGGCAGAGATTCTTGCTGCCGCAAGACATGTAATGTAATCAAATATTCACTCTCTATGCAAGCCAAACTACTGTACTTGCGAGTCATCCCCCAGACCAGAACTCACCAACATATACAGCCAACCTATATATAAATATACAATTTGTACAAATAATCAAACATGTCCAAACATTGAAAATAAACACAATAAACATCAATATAAATATAGAGTCCAAACATCAACCCACCAATAGTGAATACCTTCAGCCTGCAGTGTGTGAGAATTCTGGATTCAATTAAGTGACAAGTTTGATTTTCTTCAAATTCTATCAATTTCAGCACTACTGTTGAATTGCTGTCAAACGGTGAGCACGGTGAGTCGTACAGGGGTCCTTGTCACCTCTGATTCCCTTCTTCAAATCCATTTTGTAGCCACTCACGTTCTTGTAAAGTCCTGCAGAAATAAAGGCGGAAGGCCGTCTCCAGCCGAGAAGGCAACAGCTATGGCCTGCTATGGCATGCTACAGCATGGGGGGTTGCTTTACTGGGCAGTCCTTGACAGCTTGGAATTTCCACCACCAAGTGGTAAAGTGTGCGTAGCATGAAATATCAATATGCATGAAACCGGCATCAAAGCACTGGGAACGGAGCGCCAGTCGAAACTTCAGCCATGACTGAAGAAAATGAAGTAACTGGCAAATCTGGCAATGGCTCTCCAGGAGAACATGAAGTCATCCAAAGATATCCAAAGCTGGTCAAACTCTCCCTGAAAAAAAACACACTGGCCTTCAAAGAACTCAACGGGATCTGCTCGCCGCAGCTCGTCTTCCTGCATAACTAGAGTAACTAGATCACTGATCACTAATAATATCATCTAATATTATCATATATCATCTAATATCATCTAATATCATCCAATATCATCTAATATCATCTAATATCATCTAATATCATCTAGTATCGCTAGATCACTAGATTACTAATTCATCACTAGATCAATGGTGATTTGACATCAGAATGGCGGGCAGCCTGCAGCCGGCGGGTCACGAGGCCCTTGGCTCAAACAAATGTGGACGGTGCTGGACATGGGAATTCGAATGAATGGAAAGCCTAGAGCTGAGCATCCCAAGAATACTGGCTGATAATACAAAATACTGGTTGATAATACAATGTTATAGTTATTGTTGATATTAAAATTTGGATGTAGTGCTAGTGGGATGTAGTGGGATGTAGTGGGATGTAGTGGGATGTAGTGGGATGTAGTGGGATGTAGTGGGATGTAGTGGGATGTAGTGGGATGTATATAGTGGGATGTGATTACTGTAGTGGGATGTTAATGGACAAAATGTGGGAGTTATTTGATGTTATTTTGTATTGACATGTATTGACCCACACATCATTCCCATTGCTGGAGCAAATTGGCAGCTGGAAGAATGGGCCGATTTGGTGCAGGTAGGGCGCTTTCTTCCACTGCCAACGCTGATCAACCTGCGCCTCAGAGCACGGACATTTCTCTGCAAAGCATCTCGAGCTTCTGGATACCACTGTTCGACTGATTCTCGAGTCTCGGTCAAAGTATTCACAAAATTGAAGATGTCATTTGATGTCATTTGCATACTTTTGCACTTTCTTTTAGACCCAACTTGCTTTGCTTAATCTCCATCTATCACTAACTGTCACTAACTGCTTCGTGAAACCGCTTAAATACTTAGACCAACCTGTTCAAAATCTCCACTTTGACCACCAAGATCCACCAAGGCACCGAGTTGAAGGCTTTCAAGACACAGAAGTCGTACAATTGACCAGTTCCTCCCACAGAAAGAAACATCAACAGCGACAGCCTGATGGAAATCCAGTAGAACAAGCTGGGATATGTGCTCGATGTTACGTCTTCTCTGAATAAAAGTTTCTACTAAACAACTGAGTCACAAGGGGAGCAACATCTCCTGCCTTTATATCGCTGCAAAAAAGAACAGGCTGAGTGGCTGGAATTGCTTTTGTTTGGGTTTCCGGAAACCATTGCAAATGCACTCATCAATTTCTTGGCCTGGTGAAAACATCAAAGGCAAGAGCCTGTGATATGGGCCCCAAATTACTGAGCACGGGCCACTGTTTCTCAGAGGAGGTGTATATGTCCATTTCTACACCAAATCCATCAGAATCATTCAGAATCCACATCTCGAAGACGGAGGGTGTCAAGAGCTTGCCATTCCCTTGAAATCTTGTGGAATCAATGACCAGGCTGACACCACGGTGTTTGGCCTCTGACCAAATTTGCTGCTGCGCTGAAAAACATAGAAATACCTCGCAGGGGATGGGTCGTCAACTGGGGGACCTACAATAAGCTGCAAGTTGATGACGCAAAATATTGTACTTATATAAGTTGATGTTACATATCGACTTTCGTACTATTATGGCTACCCAGATTGGACCAGCAACTTCTACTGTAGACACTTCTACTTGGTTGGAATTCACAACAATGTGCAGCTGCATTGCTTGAGGACAAGATCAGCCAGGAGCACATTTGCTTCTGAACTTTCATGGTGGCAGCTACTAGATCTACTAGCAAGATCATTCATAGATCATTCATGAGTGTCTGGAAATGTCTCGAACAATGCGATTACTAGAAACCTTGACCCCTTCTGACGAGAGCCTTGGCCACACATCCTTGAGGCGGTCATGATGTTGTCGCAGTGCCTGAGCTTGCGATTGGCCAATGATTGTAACTATGACTTTGGCCAAACTGTTGAAAAACATGACTGTACCCCTTCACAGATCAGGAGATGTAACATGATACTGTAGAACATGATATAACATGATATAACATTATATAACATGATATAACATGATACAATAGTATGATTCTCACATCCGTTTCTCAAGTGCTTGTGGGGCGTTGACATGTGTTGACGTGTGTTGACGTGTGTTGGCGTGTGTTTACATGGGTTGATGTGCGTTGACGTGTTGACATGCATTGACATGTTGACATGCGTTTCTGACGCACCAGAGAACAAATGATGAGTTATCACCATCGCGAGTTCTGGCAGGGACAAAACGAATACAATACGAATTCAATACGAACAAGAGACAAACACATTGACACCTGATCCGAATTCTAGCTCCATGTGTGGCTGTTCCTGAAAAACGTCTTTTCACAACTAACTTCCTCCCAATGCGCATAGCCGCATAGCCGCATAGCCATGCTACATCACCATGATTTGGCCCACCGTGATGATGTTGATGAACCTTGGAATCAGCAAAGGGATTCCTCGATTCCCGGATTCCTGGGATCCAAAAGAAAGAGGATCAACATGGACCATGGATTAACGAGGTTTCTCGGATGCGGGAGCTCTGTCCAAATTGATCAGGTCTCTGGGTCTCTGAGTCTATCATTTGCGATTCCATACATTTCCATACTCAATTGTGAAGCTCCCTTGCCAGGTGACCCTTGGATGACACCGCCAACGTTAGCTGAACATAGAGCAGGGCTCACCTGGCCATCTTGTGTCAACGCGTTCTCTTGGTCAACATTTGCTTCTCGGTCAACATGTTTGATCTGCAACAAACCTCATCTCCTGGTGCTTTCTCGGCTGTACAGTATATAGATGAAAACATGTTCTGCAGGCATCAAAATCAAAGTGCATAATCTTCTGCAAAAATATTGCCCCTTTCGTGCTTTTTTCATTGTTCCTTATCGTAATGGGGCATTGATAGAAGTTGCACAAGTCCAGCCTTGGTCAGTTTGTTGGCCTTCACTTGCGCCTTCGTGACGGGACCATTTGCATATTCACCTCAGCTGCCAGCATTATAATGTGACTTTCTTTGGTCATGAGTCATGGGGGAAAAATGAAAAAAAAAGACAAACATCATGATACATCATGTACACTGGAAATTCATGAATCAAACCAACAAATGAATGTAGATCAATCATCTGCCAGCGACAAAACTGTCAAAAAACGTGTTGATGACGTTATCTTTGAACTTAGGGTGACTGCAAATATCATCGGTAGTCATGCCAACTTCGCTGAGAGAATGTTTTCCCGCATCGAACTCCGCACACCAACATGCCGAAAAAGTCACACCAACGATGGATGTTTGGAACAAGGTGTTTTGATAATTGCAGATCACTCTGGACGCAAGTTTCACCATCGCAAAACAGTTTGTAGTTTGAGTTGTGTTTATCCTCATAGTTTGATGGGAAACCCATTGTAAACGGGATTTCTAGCTGGATAATGAGAGCATTGGCCGGGAGAAACATTTATATAACCTGGGTTTCCGCGTGTTGCATGGGGGTTATAAAATGTTATAAACACAGAGGTTTGGGCGCATGATGGCGCATGCATGAATATGTCTTTGGCCGCACATGCCCGGTGAACTCAACGAGGTCCGAACGAGGTCCAATGGGCTGACATGCTCCCCCCGAGCTCCCCCCGAGCTCACCTATCGCTTCCTTTCCTTATCTTTTCCCTTTCTGTCTTTCCTTTTTTTCCTCCTTTTTCTTCTCTTTTCCTTTTCTTTTCTTGTCTTGCCCTTTTTGTCCGTTTCCTTCCTCTTTTCCTTGTTCTTACCTTGTCCTTCCTTTTATTTCCTTTTCTTCACGTTCCTTTTCCTTTGCTTGTCTTCCTTTTCCTTCCTTTCCTTTCATTTCTTTCCTTTTCTTTCCTTCCCTTTCATTTCTTTCCTTTTCTTTCCTTCCCTTCTTTTTTCCTTCCTTTGTCTTTGCTTTCTTTCTTCCTTATTGTCTTCTTTTCTCATATAACTTTACTGTGTTCTTACTTTATGACATTGACGTTTCAGCAAATGTAATCAAATGACTGCTTCCCCGCACCTGAATGCAAGTTGGAGCGACTTTCCCTGGAGCTTCCCCAACATATCTCTGGAGTCGGAGCAACTTCAACAAATGTCTGTACGGTGACTGCAGTGCAGTCTGTCAACCCCAAGGCATCAGCGCTTTTAAACTTGAAGCTCCGTGGGAAGGATTTCTGCCCTAGGAAATCTTAATAATCCTCAATCGTCGAGTAGCCGGTTTTGCAGTTGAGCCTGAAAGCGTAGTCCAGCTCGACACCAATCTGCATGATGCTAAAAAGAACCTGAGCAAGCTTCGTCAAAACAAACAATGCTAAATTCATCTAAATTCGATGTTTAAAGAAGAGCCTATGGGGTATGATAAAAGAATTTAAGAAGGGAAGCAAGCGTGGCTATTTAGTATCCTTCAGAAAACGTTTTGATTTACATGCGACAAAAGGCTATAGATTTGTCATTGATACATGGAAAGGCAGCATGGCGAGAGTGAGATGTTCATGTTTTCTTGCTGCTTTGTTGATTCTGCTATCTTCCAGAACAATCTGCAAGATCTTGGCCCAACAAACACCTGGAAAACCTTGGCTGGTGCTTACCCACAAGGGAAATCAGCAAAAGCACAAGGATAAGCCCAAGGAGAGCCTACCAACGTTGGACTAAACAAAGCTGAGAAGCTCCCTCTGCATCGAGCAAGCATGCAAGTGCATTACCTGCCACCCACATGTCATGTTCAGATGGAATTTCTCCGGCAAGGCCAGAGACGCAGAGACGCAGAGACAGGATCAAAAGCTGAAAAAGTTGATGGCTTGACATGGCTTGACCATAGCTGCCATAGCAAGGCGCGACGCTACCAGGTCTCCACGGAGCCGCGCCTGTTTCGCCAGTTCCTAATGTGGGTTGACCCCCTCCGGCAGCACCAAGCAATTTGCGTTGCGCACTCAGGCGTCGGATTCCACCAGCATCATAGGCATCCTTTAGAACTGGCTAGGCTGAATATGGCTGAATCGCTATCAGCTGATGGACACAGCTCCGAAACTTGCTTTACCAACTTTTGCATTTTGAGCAAATGTATAAAATCAAACACTAACTAAACAGCAAGCAATGAATCTCGGCTGCGGCTGCTTCACGGAGATTGATCACGTTGACTTTGCTCCGCCTACCAAGAAATACTCTACTGGCACCTTGACCTTGCCTCATTGCTAGCATCAAATGCTACGGGCAAGAGGGCCCTGTACTAGAACCCTCCAGTATAATGCCCCACCACCGGGCTCCGTGAAGCCATCCACAAACTCGTCGTCAGCACCAGTGCCAAATGTGCTCGCCGGAGCTGACCTCGGTGTGGATCACCTGCTACAAACTTTTGTCCATACGTAAAAGCGCCAATGCTGAAAGAGTTTACGACCAGAAAGCTGCCAGAAGGATGCAGAAGCTTCTGTTTGATGGCTGCAATTCAATCTTGAGTATCAACAGCTTGGCAGAAGAGGCTACAGTACAGGTCTTCACAGGTTTTCACCTACGTCCAAATCTTCTTGTCCTAGCGCAATCCACATCAACTGCTGGGGTCTCCCACACGGGACTGTTTGCATTTGGACACGACCTGGCGATCAAAGTGGCTGAAATCCGTTGGGCTGGAAACTCTTGGCAGGTCTCAATGACTTCCTGAACGGGCACTGAGTGATCCAACGTTCCAGCCATAGCCCCAGCAGAAGCAAACTGTGACACCACCTCGGTGCTCCATTGACGGGAGACGCCCCCAAAAGGTGACAACAGCAACTATGAATTCATACAAACGGTATCAAGAATGCATAAACCTATTCTTTAAGTTCTTTATCCTTGGTTGACACCGTCTGGGGTTTGGCTACTCAACTTTGAAGTTGGAGATGTTTCAGCACTCATTCCAGTTGGACAGCGATAGATTCACGTTGGAAGAGAGAGGGTGCCCATAGATTTCCAGGCACAAAACCAAAACGAGACCCTAGCCGCCCTAGCGGCCCTAGCGGCCCTAGCGCTGTGTCTAAGGCAAGTCTCTAAGCTTGACATTGCGGTCATGAGACTTCCTATACTTCCTCTGTAGCAGGACTCAGCTCCATCATCCACCCGGTCCCCATCGGTCCCCCCTTTGACATCTCCCTGGGCATCCAACGTTCACAGTGGAGGCGATGTTCGCGGCGCAGAGACGGTCGAAGTAGACGCTATTGTTGTGCTGAGATCGCGAGATTGGAAGTTCGGGCAACGAACGAAGATGGCATGTTGTTAGATGTTGTTAAGAATGTTTGTTAGCTGCTTCAAAGATCTGATGACTACTGGCATGCTATATCCGCCGACCCCGGCTGCGCAAGGGGGAGCGCGAAAGGGAAAAGGATTTTCTGACACAGCATTGGTAGCAATTTTTTCTGTTCTATATCCGCTGACCCCAACTTCTAGTACTACTACTACTGCTACTACTACTACTACTACTACTACTACTCAGCAGGCCGCCGCAGGCAGCAGCAGGCAGCAGCAGGCATCAGTAGGCAGCAGCAGACACAAGCAGACGCAGCAGCAGTAAGCGCAACGGCAGCAGTGCAGCAGCTAGCAGCACGAAAAATTGTGTTTTTCTAGGATGGCATGGGTGTCAAGAACGTGGGCAAGAGCACGCAAAAGGTGCACATAGCCAGTAGCTAGCAGCCAGCGCCAGTAGCAGCCAGCAGCTAGTAGCCAGCAGCCTACCCAAAATCTAGATTTTTCTAGGATTTCAGACGACACGTTAGGCACTTTTTTGGCGTGGTTCTGGCACTCGCTCGTCCTTCAGAGCCCTGGTGTTTTCCCCCGGCAAGTGATTTTTTCGAACCTGTTTTACTGCTAGCAGCCGCCAGCAACAGAATCTATCGAAAAATTGTGTTTTTCCAAGCAGACGCAGCAGCAGCAAGCGCAACGGCAGCAGTGCAGCAGCTAGCAGCACGAAAAATTGTGTTTTTCTAGGATGGCACCAATGGGTGTCAAGAACGTGGGCAAGAGCACGCAAAAGGTGCACATAGCCAGTAGCTAGCAGCCAGCGCTAGTAGCAGCCAGCAGCCAGTAGCCAGCAGCCTACCAAAAATCTCTAGATTTTTCTAGGATTTCAGACGACACGTTAGGCACTTTTTTGGCGTGGTTCTGGCACTCGCTCGTCCTTCACAGCCCTGGTGTTTTCCCCCCCGGCAGGTGATTTTTTCGAACCTGTTTTACTGCTAGCAGCCGCCAGCAACAGAATCTATCGAAAAATTGTGTTTTTCTAGGGTGTCAGACGACACGTTAGGCACTTCTATATATCTTGTATATATTTCTATAGGGTTTCAAACGTGACGTTTGGCAGTTTTCTCGTTTATATAGCACCAATGGGTGTCAAGAACATGGGCAAGAGCACGCAAAAGGTGCACATAGCCAGTAGCTAGCA